TTTTTACAATTTGGATCAGCTTTTTGTACTATTATTATTAACGTTTGAGTATGATATTGAACTAGTACAACATTCGTGTATTACACGAATGCTTGTTAAATTTTTTTTTTCTTAAAATTTAAAATTAATGAGAAAAATTAGTTGAAAATTTAAATACTTTATATATATATATTTTTTATTTTAGAATGATATTTGTTACTTGTGCGACTTACATGTGTTATATTATAATAATTTTTTTATTTATAACATATAACTACATTAAATATGATATATTAATTGAGAAACATTTTTTTTACAAACAGCTAATTTTACCAAATATTTTTTTATAAACCGCTAACACGATCAGCTGGTCAAAACAACTAACATAATCCGCTGGTCAAAACAGCTAATTCAATCCGCTAACCGCTAACAGCCAACAGCTAATTACCAAACAAGGCCATTGTGTTTATATTTAGTGGACCCATAAGCCAATTTAGCAATTTCTACACGGGGTTCCGTAGATTCACCCAATGTACTTTCAAAGCTTCTTTCATTCGTTTTACTTGAAAGACTCTCATCCTCTCCCGTTCCTTCCATTCATCTCTCGAAGCGCGGACGCTCACACAAGCGCAAAATCGTCTCTTGTTGCAGATCAATATGGTAACGCATCTATTTGATTCGCCATTTTTGTGAATTGGTTCAATTCGATTGTATTTGGATTCCTCGATCGGCGTTTCTAGGGTTTCTTTTCCCCCTTTCCGCGAAGTTTGTTCGATTGTGAGATGATAATCTAATTCAGTCTTTTTTTTTATACTATAATTCAACTTCTCATATTTATGATGAAATTAGATTAGAACTGCCTGTTGGGGTTTGTTAGAATTTGTTCATTTGTAATCTGGTCGACTGAAGTCAAAACATGCGAAACCCTAAAGTTTTCGGTTATTTTTCGATATTCAGGATTTGGGCAGTCTGAGCTGTTCTATTGTTTGATTGTTTTGTTGGAAGAAGGTGGAAGCCCTGCAATGAAAAAAATTAATATTCCTTCTCATAGAAGGGAAAATATGAAATTTTAAAGTATACAATCATGTTGTCTCTGCATCAAAATGCTCAGTTCACAGATATTTGAAATGCTAGAACTTTACGAATGAAGTACCGGTTTTTACATGTTGAGAAAGCCCTTTTTTTTTTGTTTTTTCTCTAGAAAAAAAAATCATTTAGTTGAACTTAATAAGTTCATGAGATGAGATTTCTACAAATTCTGGTTGGAGAAAGGATAAAACAAAATGCTGGGAGTTGGCTTCCATTAAATATCTAGGCCGTTTCATTCTTTTTCAGAAAATTAGATGATTATCACTGATATATCTCTTGCGTATTGTCATTTACTTGTGGTTTATGGTGTAATGGTTTGTTATGTGGACTTGACACCTGAGCAAACTATCCACTTTCTTGTCTTCCCCCATTTCTTGCATGGGCTAATTCCTATTTACACTTCTATGTAGTTCTTTTTTAACACTTTTTTTTGCAGTCAACTGTCCAGAGAGGGATTCAAAGGAAAGATAAGCCGAGAGGTCGTCATCATGGGTTGACTCAACAGAAGAGGCAGGAGATAAAGGAGGCTTTTGAACTGTTTGATACTGATGGATCTGGTATTGGCATTATTTGTTAATTTGAATGATTTTTATATTATGTACGTAAATGTCATCATTTCTTTGAAATGCAGCATCTGACCTACTAAATTAACTGCATGCAGGAACTATTGATGCGAAAGAATTGAATGTAGCCATGAGGTGTGTGTATTTTTATATGTTCATTTATTATTTAAAAAAATACATTGAAGTAATGAGATGACATATTAATGTTTATGGTGACTTGATTCCTTTGCAGGGCTCTTGGTTTTGAAATGTCAGAAGAGGTATTCATCAACCTTAAAACTTATGCTGCTGCTAAACTTTCTCCAAAGTACATTCTAAATGTTCTCTTATTATGAGTAATTGGAACATATAAACTATTTAAACTTGCTGTCTGCTACACGAGTATCTCTCCAAATGCAATATTCCGACCATGCCTACTTTTCTGTATTCCCCACATAAAGCAAATTTAAGGATTTAGGTCCATAATGACTTCTAACAAAAACTGCTTTATGAGCTACAATTCTTCGAAACATTTACAGCTTGCCTTTTATGTTCCTTTAACAAGTACATGTACGACTAGGTTACTTTTGGTTACGACTTACTAGGGTGTTATTTATCTTGGCTCGTGGTAAAAATAACAGTAATGTTTATAAGTGCACAACTCATATAAAAATGTCACGAGATGGTGATGCAGTTTGGCTCTTGGAGTTGCTTTTCATTTTTCGGTAATTAACTATATTAATTGTTGGAAGTTGGAACTGTTGTTTTTCCACAATATACGTATACCTGTTGCCTTAGAACAATCAGAAGTATGGTTAAGATCTTAATTTTAAGCTACATGCTTAAGGTAAGGTGTGTAGCCCCCCTTCCCGGAAAAACACATACACACACACACACCCAAAAAAAAAAAGAACAGGAAACTCTGACTTCTGGAGTTTTTTTATTGCTGATCCTTCCAGCTGTGGCAGATATCATAATATTTATGAATTCGAAAGTTACTTAAATTATGATGATATTTTGATGATAATGAATCTTATCTTACAGGAAATTACTCGAATGATTGCTGAAGTAGACAAAGATGGCAGTGGGGCTATTGACTTTGATGAGTTTTGTCACATGATGACAGCTAAATTTGGAGAAAGGGACACTAATGAAGAGCTCAAGAAGGCTTTTCGCATTATTGACCAAAACAATAATGTAAGTTTTTGGTATATTTTACATTTTGGTTACTTGTATTGTGGTAACCGGTTCTTCATTATCCGGATGCAGGGGAGCATATGTCTTGGAGATATTAGACGCATAGCAAATGATTTGGGTGAAAGATTCACTGAAAAAGAGCTGCAGGATATGATTAGGGAAGCAGACCGAGATAGTAAGTTTGCTAAATTCTATTTGTACCACATAACTTTAGATGCCCTTGCTTTCTCTACTGTTCTGCACTACCATGTGCTTCAAGAATTTTGACCCTTTTATAGATTCTCTATATACATTCCCAAAATCCCTTTGTTTTATTATTCTGGAAGTTGTAAACTTATTGAAATCTGTGCTTCTCCAATCTCCTATCTGACCATGCAGATGGGCCCATATAGTTGAGCACAATAACTCTAAAAATAATGTAGTCGTATTGATTTAAATGGATTTTAAGATAATAAAAATGAATTCTCTCTTTTCATTTCAATTGAAAGGTTAAGGTTGTAATTGGATCTTGTCGTTTGGAAATTTTCTTTTGCCTAGAAAACACTGGTGAAAACAGAAAAACTAATTTTGATAGTGAAGGTATCGTGTGATTTAAATGTGTTTTGTTCGCGTGAAACGTGCAGATGATGGTGAAGTAAGTTTGGACGATTTCTTGAAGATGATGAGCCGAACCTCGTACGGGTACTAAAGCTGTAAGTTACTCGTCTGCAATGTTTCAGCTCCTGCTGGACCCCTCTGCAGAGTAATAGTTCCTGCTGTTCCATTTGTTATACAATATATCTGTGAACAAGAAATAATGTTGTTTGTTATTTGATATTATCATCTGGAGTTTTCGAGTTTAGTAAATAGTAAAAGACCCTTAATTGGTGATAATTTGGCTCTACGTTGTACTTTAGCCTGTTTTATTGTCTGAAAAAAACGTTGTACAGTATGCTCGAGTTGAGGGCTACTGCTACCGTTCGTTATTATTACGAGAAGGGTCTATGCGATTTAGCCTAACTACAAATAGGCAGGTATGCCCCCGATGCTTATACCTATTCAAATTTTTAAATATTTCCTCCATACAATTTCCCAATGCCTTTTGTTTCACCCTAAATCAGATATTGTATAACTTGAAGAAACTGAAACCACTTCACTAGTGTAGCAAAGACCCACTAATTACAATAGCTAGCTACACCATTCGTGATGGAAAACATACACACAAAGCAAATCTGCAGTTGTGCATTCGAAAAATATTACAACACGACCAATTTTAGTTGACCCGCCTGCAATTGCCCCTGATTTCACCGTTGGGCCCTTCCTTGACGTCCAACGTCCCCATCTTCACCATGGCCCGTTGGAAGTCAAAGAAGAACATGGCCGGGTTCATTGCGTACCCGTTCACGACGGCCCGTGTGGTTGGGCCCATATACAGCGCCTGGTCCGAGAACAGGAGCCCAGCGCTTCTCTGTAGGGCTCTGTAGTAGTCGTTGTCGAACTGTGTCCTTGTAGAGTCGAATGATTGCTCTGCGTCATCACCCTTGCTGCAGGTGGCAGACAGCGTCTTTGCGAACTGTGCGTCGATGGTGGGGTCCACCTCTCGGTTTGGGTTGGTGCTGCTCAGCCGGCTCTTGAACGACGAGCACCTGGCCACCCCCAATGTGTGGGCCCCTTTGAAAAGTTGAGAATGTAAAGTACAATCAAGTTTAACAATAGTTTTTGAACGATAGAAATAATTAATAAAAACACATAATTAGAGACTGAAAAATAGCTAAACAGAATCACTAAACATGAATTTGATATGTAATTATGCTAACATATATAGCAAGGGATAAGAATGAAGGTATAATTAACCAAGTTAACGAGACAGTAATATGGTTATAATCATACCGGATAAAGCGACCATTTCTCTAGCCGTGAAGCCACGCTGGGCAAACATGTTGATCAGCTCCGTACTGTTTAAGCTCGGAGGCGGCAATCGGATCGTGTCCTCAATCTTCGATCTCCGCCCGTCCTTCCTACCTTTCGGTATATCATAATACGGACCGCCCGCCTGATCAACACCACAATCATCCTCATAAATATATTTTGTACAAATAAAAGAAAAATACGCGTACGCCAACCAAAAGACCGTTGTATATCCAAGTACTTACGAAGAAAACAGCATCTCTGGCGGCCATGCCAAGTATATCGGCACACGAAACGACTCCAGGGCACTGTTTTTCCAGCGCGTCTTTAGCGGCATCAATTATTTCGTATCCCCTTAGGCTTAGATTGGCCGGCGAGTCCTTTTCCGCTGTGTTGTTCTTAGTCGAGTCGAGCAATATAGATCCATCACATCCCTTATGTACATATATATGCAAACCCAAATTTAAGAAATGAGCAATATAGATCCATCACATCCCTTATGTACATATATATGCAAACCCAAATTTAAGAAATGAATTGTATGAATCGGAAGAGAAAATATAAACAAAATTTTAAAAAATTATTTGAAAAAATACGAACCTCGACAAAACAGTCGTGAAAGTGCATCCGAAGGAGCGGCCCGGAAAGGGTCGGGTCGGACTGCAAGGCACTAATCACGGTGTTCTTTACGATGATATCAGCAATTGGACACACTAATATGTAGTAGTTCATGTTCAAGCCGTTGGCCACGCTAGCCATCATGCCGGCCAAAAGTATCAAAGGCAACACATTGAGAATGACCATCTTCATGAGTTTTGAGAACACAATGAAAATTGCAAACTTAAATTCTAAGTTGGTGTGTTGAATAGAATAGCAAAGCTAGTATTGATTTTGAAGCTCAATGAGGAGATGGTCATATATATACACACACACACACACACACACATATATATATATATATATATATATATATATATATATATATATATATATCCCCACATCGTTTATATAGGGAAAATAAGTTTAATTTATAAGTCTAGTGGGCTACTCCTCATTTCACCAATTGATTTTAGGATGGAACCTCACTTGGGTTTCATATGGGTTTTCCCTCTCATGCTGTCACGCTTCATCTGCGTGAGACCGCACCCGTTTTTTCCCTCGTTATATATGTATGTATGTGTGTATTTGTTTGCATATTGCTATAACTAACATTGCTTAGTTATGAGCATGCATGTGAAAGAGTTGTGAACTAGTGGATGGTGACAATGAAATTGAGATTTTGAATGGATAATTATCTCAACAAACGTTGATATATTTAGCATTGTTGGGCACTAATTGGTGCCGGTGTAATATGCTGTCATGTCTTCATAATTTAATAGTTTGTATAGTTACAATGTCACCCTAAAGTTTGGAAGTGTAACATAGAAGGAAATCAAGGTAAAAATTTTACCTTTTTAAATTCACAAATACCTTCTGTTAGAATATAACAGCACTCGTGAGTTGTCCCACATTGTTTAAATTTCCTTAAACAATAGACTTAAAGTATTTAGATTTGACATGCAAATACATTTTTTTTTTTTAATTACACTTGTCACAGTTGGATGATTTGCTTTGTATGAATTTGATTGAGTGGAATTAATAAAAAAAATGTGACAATCTAAGTTAATTAAGAGAAATAGCATGGAAAAAATCCAGCTCTTATATAAATAAATTCAGGAGTCAATGGGTCTGCATTTCACACATCCTTGCACTAGTGACGGATGACCAAATTTAAATTATTTTTATAAGTATTTGTTACTTTTGTATTAGAGATTAGTCCCGGAGAAGCTAAATTTGTTTTAGTTCTAGTCACTTATTCTTTTAATAATATAAAATAAATTAATTTGAAGGGAAATACAATATATTTAATTTATAAAGTGAAAATAGTATTTTTTTCACCCCACCATGAATGTTGTATTGAGCATGGTTATTAAAAACCGGATCGGACCATTGAACCATCGAAAAACTAAGTTTCACCCTAGAAAGTGCACTATTGAACCGGTAGCTTCACCTGTTCGACGAACGGTTCTGTTGAATTGTTTTCCTACCAATAATTCTAACCTTTGGAAAACTACTGTTGAGATCGTCAAAATTTAAGAGAAATTCAATCAAAAAAACTTCAAACCAAAGTTATAACATTGAAATATTCAGTTCTACTGATGTTTGAATTTTGTCGAAATATATTATCAATAAAACACAGAACCACAGACTAATAAATTTCCCTTCTCTTATCAATAAAAATTAAGAAGATATTACGGTCTCGTTACAGAACCATTCCGTCGGGGTTTGTAACCGTTAGATCAACAATCTCTGACTGTTACATGATGATCTAAACGGTTACAAACTTCGACGGAACTTAACACATTGGCATCAATTTCACAAGTGGGTTTTTGCTTTTGGGAGAAAAGCAAAACGAGCTGTGGAGTTTTCTGGAGAGAAGTCAAAAATGGAAGTGGAGGAGCTGTTTCCCATACATTAATTAGAATTATTGGAAGTTGGTATTATTACTCAGTTTCCTGTTTGTATAATAAAAAAACCTTCGCATTCACAATCATTATTATTGCCACTTAGTGCAGTCAACACGGTTACGTTATATAATGTGTTACTCTTTCTATATGCGCATGCACAATTCTTACTTTACTTTTTTTTTTTCATATGCGCCAACACAAATGTGCAAATGTGATTTTAGGAGTATTGTAAGAAAAAATTGATTTAATTTGCACGGAATTTGTAATTTTATTTTTTTGTAATTGGAAAACTTAGAATAAACATCTAAAAACTATTTTTATGTAAATGAAAAACGAATAATAAAGTTGAAATGTGAGGTAGTTGAGTTTGTGTATTGAAAAAAAAATGCGAAATTGTAGGTTTTGCAAGTGTTCGGTCTTTGATGTTCAAGCAAGCCAAATGAGCTATAATTATGATATAACTCTCTAACAGGGTTCGTTAGGACGAGTAGTAAAAAGTTGGATATCATTTCGAGTCCAGACGGGCGCGTTTATGCTCCTGGAGTGTGGACGCGACGGTTGGACATGCTTAGTGGTTTGGCGCAACGGCTCGTCGCAGGTGTGATAAGTTGGTGACCTGAACATACCTGCTCGTACCAGAAATGCAAACCTTTTTTTTTTTTAAAAAAAAATATAATTTTGAATAAAGAAGACATTTTTATTGTAATTTACAAACTATTTATTCTTTACGTTTAGTTTATTCGTACTTTATAACATATTTATGTTATTAGATCTCATGACATAATGGTTAATTTTTTTTTTTTTTTAATATATCAGACAAAAATTATTAAACCCAATTCATAAGTGCTGCCAAGGCCACATACTGGTCCAAGTCCTTGATCTCTAGTTCCTCTCCGTTGAAACGTTGGATAAACTCCCTTAGTGTCTCATTCGACATCTGACGAATGCCCATAAAGTGGGCTGACGCTTTCTTGTATCGTTTGCTACTAACAAAGTGGTTGAGGAATTCTTGTGACAACTGTTTGAAAGAATAGACTGAGGTCACTGGCGGCGAAGAGAATCAAAACCTGCCACGCTTTCACAGTGTGGCTGAGAACGCTTGGCATTTGATGGCGTGGGTCTCCCCATGTAGCGTCATGATAGCTTGAAAATTCTCAAGATTGGTCGCGGGGGTTCGAGGTTCCATTGTAGCTCTCCATCTGGGGCATCTTGAAGTTAGAGGGGTTTTCCACTTTCATGATGTTAGCAACAAAAGGAGACTCGGTGGGTGAGAAAGTATCAAACGTCGGCTTTCTGACTTATTTCTACACCACGCCGAGTCTTTCATTCATCTCCTTAAGCTTTTGCTTAAGCTATCCTCATGTGTGAAATTTTCTCCCGAGGTCTCTTTTGCATCTAACCTCGGCTTCATCGTTGAAGGCTTTAGAACTTTCGCCATGACTGACTTCTCTGTCCTAGGATGTTTCTTGTTCTAGCACACCCTTCATCAAGGTCTTCAACTCAAGGAATGATGCCGACGAGATTTTGGATTCGAGGGAGAATCCTCTCCACCTGGGAGAGAATGATGCCGACGAGATTGCATTAGCATATCTCGACAAATATGATCGACTTATGCCTTTAGTTTGATTATTATTAATATATTTTATTATTATTTAGTTATGCTTATTTATGTTATTTTGAGCTTTTTATTATGTTGTAGTGGACTTATTGTGTTGGGTTTTTAATTAATATTGTTTAGGATTTTGATGTAATATTTAGAAGTAGTTGTGTATCTGGAATAGGGAGTTATCGTATTATCAGATTGTTCAGAAAAGAGAGAAACTGTTCTTCGTTCTTCATTGTTCTTTGTACAATTATCCCATCTCATGCTTCCTGCTACATCATTTGGTATCAGTTAACCAGGACGATTCTCGATGCCACCGAGACGACGAGATGCCGAAATTGATGATCGTCTTCAACGAATGGATGATCGGATGCAATTGTTGGACACTCAGGTTACGGATCTTTCGATGGAGATTGAAGATATTCGCCTCATACTCGATACAATGGTGCGAGAGCAGCAAGAGATCTGCGATTTCGCTTGTGGCCGAGGCGGTCGTGGACGTGGGTTTGGTGGTCGTGGCAGACGTGGGTTTGGCGGGGCGCCCCGTCAACCGTTCCAACCGCCTCTGTTCGGAGAAGTAGATAGTGAAGATACCTGGTGGTCACTCGCCTTCGTGGTCGTGCGGCCGCTTGGTGGTTACAGGGTGTGCGGCATCGTCAGGGCAAGCAAAAAATCAAATCGTGGTTGAAATTCCGTAAGTATCTCGAACGTGAGTTTTTACCGTTCAATTATGTTCGTACACTTTATCAGAAATTGCAGCACCTTCGACAAGGTTCACGTAGTGTTGATGAGTATACTGAGGAATTTTATAAACTTTTGGCCCGGGTAGATATTCGAGAGACTCCAGATCAGTTGATTTCTCGTTATATTGGAGGATTGCGTGTCTCTATTCAGGATGTGCTGAATATGTTTACTCCGGCTTCCGTTTCTGAGGCTCATAAGCGGGCTTTATTGGTTGAGCATCAGCAGGCCCGGAAAGCGGGCACTTCTTTTGCACCGTCAGCAAAGGAGCCTCCAGGGACTTCGGGTACCGCGCCGTCTACGGCGAGTGCTCGGGATTTAGGTGCTCCATCTGAGGGTCGAGTGATTGGCCCCACGATGGGAAGTGGCACTCGGCAGTCTGGTGGGCCGCATTGCTTCACATGTGGCGAGCCTGGTCATCGTCAGACACAGTGCCCGAAGGCGAAAGGGTCGCGGGCGGTGATTGTAGAAGAGCCAGAATCGACTGTTTACGATGGTCCTCCGATTTTCGATAAAGAGTCGGAAGTTCCAGAGGTCATGTCTTGGGAGACGTGGGTCACGCGCTTGTCCTTCGTCGGTCTCTTTTGTCTCCTCACATATCTTCCGAGGATGAGGTCCAACGACACCACCTTTTTGAATCCACCTGCACCATTGGCGGCCGGGTGTGCCGTTTTGTCATTGATTCTGGCTCTTGCGAGAACGTGATTTCCAACGAGGCCGTCAAGAAACTTGGGTTGTTAAGTGAGCCTCATCCTGATCCGTACGCTCTTGCTTGGATACGGCGGGATGATAATGTCTGTGTCACTCGACGTGTATTGGTGTCCTTTTCTATTGGACCTTTTTATAAGGACATAACATGGTGTGACATCGTGCCTATGGATTCTTGGCACGTTTTATTAGGCCGACCTTGGCAATTTGATCGCTCGGTGGAACATGATGGACGCCTCAACACTTATAGCTTTTTATTTGAGGGCCTCCGCATAGTCTTGCATCCGTCGTCATCCAGTTCTGGTCCTTTGCCATCGTCGTCTCCGGTTTTATTCGTTTCTCGCGCTGAGCAGTGTAGGGAGTTATCCAGCTCGGCAGACGGTCGCTCGATCGTTTTTGACGTAGGTGATTTTGACGAATGTGTTGCTCAGGACGCCGACGAGATTGTGGATTCGAGGGCGAATCCTCTCCACCTGGGGGAGAATGATGCCGACGAGATTGCATTAGCATATCTCGATAAATATGATCGGTCCGAGCTTTAGTTTGATTATTATTATTATTATATTTATTTTAGTATTTGTGTGCATTTAGTTATGTTGTGTGTTGGGCTTGTGGTTATTTATTTATGTTAGTGTGTTGGGCTTGTAATATGATGAGTTTTAAGTCTAAGTGTTTAGGATAGATATTATAAATAACTGTGCGAACGTTGTGAACAGCAGTTATTGTATGATTGAATCAGAAAAGAAAAGAAAACAGTTTCTTCTTCGTTGTGTTCTCGGAACACAAGTTTCATATGCTTCCTGCTGCATCAAGGAATTCTTTTCCACTCTCTACAGTCTTTGGACCTCCATCCCCGAGGTGGCTGGATCTTGAGAACCTTGGCCTTGGCTAGGGTTAGCCTCAGAGTTCGCGTGGCTTTCTTGGGTTGATCGTGTTGCAAAACACCTCTCGTCCCTCGGCTGGTTTCCGCTCTCCTCCGCGTCGCCATGAATCCTCTTCCTAAGTAGTTGGGTCCCACAGACAACGCCAGTTGATGATACAAGAAATACCTGTTAGTCTGAGGACACGTGACGACTATGTATGCTCCGATGTCCTCCTTAGTGCATTTCCTTTGCTCTGACGCCTGCAAAATAGAGCCTCGGGGTTGTTCCCAGGAGTAGATTCACTGATGCCTAAGTTAGAATATGTTTAAGGTGGCAGTTGTAAATGAGTAAAAGAGAGTTTTTAGCCTTTCATTGACCTAGGTCATCCTTTTATAGAGGTCAAAAGACCTAGGTCTTTCCTGTGCAGGCGGAGAACTTCCCAGCCCACTAACTTGTTGGACTATGGTCCACCAATTGGGTCACCGCTTAAAACAAGATTTGTCGGGACCTTGAGCCTAAAGTAAAGCTCTTCAAGATTTTGGGCCTAAAACAAGTTTCTTGGGAACCCTGGGCTCAAAATAAGACTCTTCGAGACGTTGAACCCTAGGCTCAAAATAAGGCTCTTCAAGATTCATCGGGACCTTGAACATTAACAGTTCTCGAAACACACGTGTCTTTATTCACCCAAACCACGTGTCTCCTAATAAATATATATTTTTTCCCCTATCACTTCTAATTTTGAGTTTTTTCTTTTGTCTTAGCATTCACAAACA